AAGGAACTGGACAGCGTTTCACAAAGTAACTAGACAGGTTGAATCCTAAAAGGATTCAGGGTTATTGGATGATGTGATAGCACCATAGAAATTTACAGCACAGAAGAAGGCCATTCAGCCCATCGTTCTGTTCTGGCTCCTTTAAGAGCAATCATTTCAGTCCCATTTTGCCAACATAACCTTTTGGGAAGTGGCTAGTTGAGATCAGTCAACAACTCCTGTCTGAAATTGTTGCAATGTTAATATAATAGTGAACAATCCCCATTCCTGTAATTTGGTTTTTGACACAAAAAACCCTCAAACTTCAAACCCACAACATTTGTACAATGTTAAAGACAGTAAAGATCCCATGGCACTGTTTGGGAAGAGAAGGGAGTTTCTCCCAGGGTCCTGGCCAACAATCCCCCAGATAAACCTGGTTATTCACTTCATGACAGCTGATGGGATATTGCTGTGTATAAAATTGTTTCATATACAAAATACAGTTACTTTACAGTATCTCCTATGAAGCTTTTTGAGACATCATCCAGATATGAAAGGCACTATATCAAATTCAAATATTATTACTGTTATTATTTGAATGCTTTTTATGCTGCACTCGACACCTATCATAGAACCTGACAATCCGACCAAGCTATGTAGTCAGGTCACAGAAAAGTGAAGTTTATGGAATGTAAAGGGATATTGACAAACTAACCAGAAGAATTTTAGTGACACACTGGACCAGCAGGGGAAGAATGCATGTAAGACATATTGGCATAATAGTAAACCTGATCAGAAGCTATAATTATTGATCATTCACCAATAATAACTGCATATTAGAATCCACCTTGAGAGCATTTAACTATAATTCAAAATAGGTTATTTTGTTGCAAGGAATAATCCATAAAGCTATGTTTTGACCAATAATTTTAAATTGGGCAGTTAATCTTCAGAAAAAAAATATCACACGATCAGTTTGAATGCAGAAAGTCCTTAGGCCCTTTTGATTTCATCCTTCCAAAAGGCTCACCCTCTCATCTTCCTGTTACATATTGGAAATGATTTAGAGAAGTGTAACTTAGATGATTCCAGGGCATGATCTTTATATTAATGAATGCAATTAGTATTGAGTCAATACACTTCACATTGAATTGATGTTAAAGGAGTAGCATAAATCCAATGTTGGCGAAATTGATTTGAATCTGAACCCTGTTCCCAAACTGCTTCCAGGAGATATTTCAGAATTGATTCAATGCTAACAGCCTTGTGATGTTTTGTGGAGTGGGAATTAAAGTTTCCAAACCATGGAAAAAGAGCGTAGAAACCCATCTCAGCATTGTATTCAAAACAGCAAGCTAACCATATCTGTTTAACAGATATAATATTTGTTACCGGGTCATGTGATTAACACAAGCATTGCTATAGTTGGTATTCTAGCATTAACAGGTCGTAATAAACTGTGGGTAGAAATTACATCTAGGTCTAAGATTTACTTTATTATTGTAGCATTTTGGTGTGTTTAGAATTTGGCAACATTTTGCCTAACATTTTGAAGCTGGTTTTCTGTAAGTTTATTTTAAAATCTACAGAAAAAGGTTTTCAAAATTAAAGCTGAATTGAACAATTTGCCAAATTCTGCATACCCTAAAATGCTACGTAAATAGAATAAATCTAGACATAGGTGAATTTCTAGCCACTAATGCCTCTGTTGACTGTAATATGTAGGATTTATGTCAATCCTGGCTCAGCTGGTAACACTTTCCTCTCTGACTCAGAAGTTTGTGTTTCAGGCCTCATATCAGAATTTTGAATCTCCAGTCTAAGCTGACACACCAGTGTACGCTGGGGAAGCAAGGCATTTTTAAAAGTGCCATCCTTCAGATCAAATCTTAAACAAAATCCTGTCTGCAGATCCCATGGCACTATTTGGAAAAAAAAGATGCTTCCTGGCCAATAATCCTACAGATAAATTGGTAAATAGTCTTAGGAAATTCTTAAATTCAATTTGGATCCTGTTTTTCTGTAGTTTTTATAAAGGCTGAACTGAAGAAGTTTCTAAAGTTCTGCATTGCCTGGGCAAAGTTTTAGAAAATAAGCATAAAGTGAAGAGAATAGGGAATTTGGGGATTCAGGTGAGGAAAGCAGGATATTTGGTTGTGACATCTGCCCCTTTTTTTGCCTTTCCCCCCACCATCAAAACCCATTTAAGTAATAATAATACTCCTTGCATTTGATATAGTCACGTCTTCAAGATGTCTCAAAGCGCTTCACAGAATATACTGTAAAGTGAATTGACTATATATTTTGTGGGCGAAATGTTTCAAAGGATTTTCTTCACTTTAATTTTTCTGTGTAGATTTAACATTGGGGAAAATATTAAGAGTCCCATTTGTGATTAGAAATAGTACTCCAGATCACAAAATATAGGGAACTCTGGTAACTTTAAGACTGAGGTGCATCTACACTTGACTGTGCCAATGCCATATCCACACCCAAGTGAATGGTTGATGAATTGTGCCCGCAACTCATCAGCGGCAATGCAACCAACTTTGAATCACAGAAACCGAACCATTTCACTCTACAAAGTGCAGGTGCACTCGTCAGATGCCATCAGGAACTGCTTATGGAGTGGAGTCCTGTAGCTCAGTGGTTAGAGCACTCTCGTTGCAAGTGAGAGACCTGAGTTCAATTCCAGGCAGGGCGAAACCTTGGGCAAGTTTCCTTACTCCACACGCCTAATAATAATCCCTCCAAAACCAAAAAAAAACAATAAATTGGTCATTTTCAATCTACGACTGTTTATGGGACATTGCTGTGCGCAATTGGCTGCCGCGTTCGCCCACAAATATACAGTCAATTCACTTTACAGTGTGTTCTGTGAAGCGCTTTGGGACGACCTCCCGACGTGAAAAGCACTACATCAAATGCAAGGATTATTATTATTATTGGTGTGGTTAAATAGCAGAGCATGTAATTTTCCAAATTACATCTGCAAATAGTACTGAAAGCGCTGGAAACACATGAGACACTACAATGTTAAGGTAAATTAGTGAAAAATGGATATGAAAACATGGATAATAATAATAATCCTTACATTTGATATCCTCCATAGAGGGGGTGGGGTGTGGGGGATGGTGGAGTGGGGGGTGGGGGATGGTGAAGGTAAGCAGGGTCTCCTTGGGGATGCTCTCAATAGGCCGGTTCCTGAGCCAAGGGAGTCCACTGTACTCCATGGCACTGCTGATGACAGACCAGTCAGTTTGACTCATCGGCAGGACTTGGACGGGCAGGTCGATCACTGGGGGCAGGGATTCTCCCCACTCAGCTTCTGTTAATCCTGTAAGACAAAGCCCTAATGAATAGGGTGGCAACATACACAAATATTCTCAGGAGCTAGGTAAGCAGGGTGCATCCTTGGGGGACAGAGTGAGCATTCCCATCCAGACTTGAGGACATTTCTGTGCTTAAGTACCTTATATGTGTGGAACTCTGTTTGGTTTGGATGCTTTTAAGCATGTTAATGGAATTCCACACGTGTCAGACACCAGGATGACCAAAAGAAAACCTGTCGCAATTTCTTAAGAAGGTACATATCTTTTGATATAGACCAATTTCCATCGGATTAAAATATTAAAAATGAGCTATAATTGGGAAGAGCAACAAAGTCAATATCACTGTTTTATTCAATGCTTTCTGTAAATGAGCGATGAACTTTTTTTTGAATTCCATTTTAACTTTGCTGTTTTTCCACTGACATAAAAATACTCATTATTGATGGAAAGGAAGTGACTATGGCTGTGGTGGCTTAACATGTTGGGTTTCTTCCTCTTTCTTAGCAACTGCTATGCTGATACTGAGCTTTCTGTGGGAAATAATTTGTCAGATGGATTGTGGGAAAGTGGTAAAATAAAAAAAATTGAGTTGTCAATCCTTCACGCAGAGATAAGACGGCTATAGTGTAAGTGCGCCATCAGCCGTAGCTAGAGCTAGGTGCAGGTAGCATATAATCTCGTGCTTCATGATTTTCATACCTAGAAATGATTTGAATGATGTTGGGATAGTCAAGTAAATCTAATGCAGAAAATATGTTCCAAGGTGTTTGTTCCGTGATGGACATGCAAACAGCTTGATAGCTTATGCAAAGAATATTAAGATAGCTTGGGTGTTTACCATGAATATTGACTGGGTCAGTGCTTTGATGCATCCTGTTGGTACTTGTTTTAGTAAATGTGCAGAATCCTTTAGTAAAATGAGTGAACTATTCATGAAGCTAGCAATAAAGGTGGCTTCAGCAATTTAAAGCATTGATCTCCCAACTGGAGGGTTGTGAATTCAATTGTTATTCAAACTCACCTACCATCACTGGAGCTATCCATCTCATTCATAAAGGAGAATAGTGCCAGCATCCCCTCATGATGGAAGCAGTCATAGATTGTGAACCTTTCCTCGTGTGATAGAGGTACAAGATGTTGTGACAGAAAAAATACAGCCAATTCTAGGGGATCCTTCCAAAAGTTGTGATTTGAATATTTGCACAAATCAGACATGGCTTCATTGTTTCACGTTAGTGCCCTTCCCCAATTTCGCAATGTGTTTTGGTTGTATAATTCTCGGAAAATGTTATCCTTGGATGTTGTGTCCAATTGTGAATAATCCTGTGATATTTTACCCCAACATCATGTGCTATCAGCACTTTTCCTGTCAAATCCCAGGTTTACAACAACAACAAATTGTATTTATATAGCCACTTTCGTGTAGGGAACGTGCTAAGGTGATGGACAATCAAGGATTTTTTACGCCTAAGCTGGGGGATGGAATCAAGAGGAGTGAAGAGCACGGGGGATGGGAGTGAGGATGAACGAAGGCACGGTAGAACAGTAAAGTCTTGAGATGGACTTTGAAGGAGGCAAGGGAGCGGGTGAATGTACTGTAGTGAACTGTACATTCTTGTTCTTTTTCAGTAACGGATATTGTGACTGGCAGGACAGGGAGTTTTGAACTTGCTCTATGTCTTGCAGGTATGCTCTAGGAGATGCTCGTCGACCTCTCCATGAAACGGCTGCTCTGGTTGAAGATGTTGTGCATTCGCAGCTGATTAATATGGTAAGATTCCTGATCCGCGTGGTGCTGACCCTTGTACACAGGACCTTATGGTCTGAAAAAGTAAACCCTGTGTGTGTGCTCAGCACTTCCTTTGCAGCTGAAAACTTCTGCAAATTTGAAGCCAACTCACGTAAAAACTCCCACTGAAGCCTGACTCCCACTGAACCTTTGGAGTAGCAGAAGGATTCTTTTTTTAAAAAAAACAGACTCTAGTACACTTTCTGCCACAAATTAAAGGGGAAGGACTCTTTTCTTCAAGCAGTAGTTTGATTAAAAGGAAGTTAGGGCTGTCTGAGAAATCTAGCTGCTAAATTGCATCTAAATTGCACTGTGGAGTCCTGTAGCTCAGTGGTTAGAGAACTCGCCGCACAAGCGAGAGACCTGGGTTCGATTCCTGGCAGGACGAAACGTTGAGCAAGTTTTCTTACTCCACATGCCTCTGTTTACCAGCAGTAAGTAGGAACCCAGTTGTTTGGCGATTGGCGGATCGCTTTTCCGGGGAGAGTAATTCCTTCAAAATAATAATACTAAATTGGTCACTTCAATCCACGACTGTTTGTGGGACACTGCTGTGCACCACATTTCGCCCACAAGATATACATCAATTCATTTTACGATATATTCTGTGAAGCACTTTGAGACGTAAAATGCAAGTATTATTATTGTTAACGACTGTGATGTAAATCATTGTAAGCTTCTCCTTCATGACACTGTAACAAGTGGTAAAGGTCCATAATTGTTCAATAGCATTTTATTCAATATATTTTCTCATATTTGTGCACGAACAAAATTCATGGCAGCCTTTCATTGGACAGCTACTGTGCTCAAGCCAGCCTCCCTAATAGCTTGCAGATGTCATAGATGCAGCATACAGGTGCACAGTACAGAATACAAGCTTTCAACTTCGGAACTCCCTCCCTCAACCCCTTCGTCTCGCCCCCTCCTTCCTCAATTTCAGTTCGCGCCTGAAGACCTTACTTTTCGACCACACCTTTGATCTCCCCCTGGCTTGCCTTGGGCTCCACCATTGTTAAGCCGGGGAGCGGCGGCAGGACAGCGCGGGGAGGAGCCTGGGCCTACTGACCCAGGTACTTAAACTCGACGCCGGAGCGAGTTCAGCTAGGGAGGGGGGGGAGGGGGGGAGGTGTGGGGACGGAGCGGGGGAACTGCGACGTCATAGATTAGTTTTCAGGTACGTGCGCGCGCACAAAAAAAAAAAAAAAAAAACTCTGCGCCCCCCCCCCCCCCCAGGGCTCACATCAGAGCCCACTATGGTCCTGTTGGGTTCGCTGCCCCAATCTACGGGATAATGCCATCCACCTGACCGCTCGCTCCCGGTCCCCGCGTGCGCACTATGGCTGCCGCTTTGACCCGAGCCCCCTCACCCCCTCCCTCCCGCCCCCCTCCTCTCTCCCCCCAAACCCTCCCCCCTCTGCATCTCTCCCGCTCTCTCCTCCTCTCTCTCCGTCCCTCTCGTCTTCTATCCCCACTTGACCCTCCCACAACCTCCCTCTGCTCCAGCCTGGGAATCCTCCGCCGGGCTCACCGTGGCACTCGGCGTTGGCTGTCCAGCAGCAGCCACACCGACTGCCCCATTCCCCACCACACTCGCCACCCACCCCGGACACAGACCCGGGGAGTCAACCTCTCCTCCCTCATCCCCATTCCCCAAACCCCTGCCTCACAACCTGGACCCCCCTCCCACACACCCTTCTGTCAACCGCTCCCTCCACATCGGACTGCAAAATGTCCGCTCCCTCTGCAACAAGGCCCTGGTCATCAACGATCTCATCCTTGATGAGAACGTTGATATCATGGCCTTAACAGAAACCTGGCTCACCCCAGGCGACACCTTCCCCCTCACGGAGGCCACGCCACCCGGCTACACCTCCCACCACATCCCCCGCCCCAACCGCCGTGGCGGTGGTGTTGCCCTTATCTCAAGGACACCACTTGCCCTATCCCCCTACTCCACTGGCTCTTTCCCCTCCTTTGAGCACCTCACCCTCTCCCACCCCTCATTCCTCTCCCTTAAAATCCTCCTCCTCTACCGGCCCCCTAAAACCTCTCCCACCTTCATCTCTGACATTTCAACACTCCTCACATCTCTTTGCCTCTGCTCCGATCGCCTCATCATCCTGGGCGACTTTAACCTACACTTCACCCCCTCCTGCTCCATCTCCACAGACTTCTCTTCCCTGCTCTCCTCACTCAACCTCTCCTTACACATAAACTCCCCCACTCACAGTCACGGCCACCCACTCGATTTGGTGATCACCCGGGGCCTCAGTGTCTCGGATGTCACTATTACCGACAAGGCCATCTCTGACCACTACTTCATCTCCTTCACCACCTCCACCCCCCTCCCCACCTCCACCAGACCCACCACCATCTTCTACCGCCCTTGGAAGAAGTTACCCCCACAATCCCTAACCGATGCCTTGGAGTCCTCTGAACTCCTCTCCCTCTGGCCTTCAACCCTCACCGACCCCTCTTCTCCTCTCTCCCTCCTCCACAATACCCTCTCCTCCACACTCGATACTCTTGCCCCCATCACTTCCCGCACTGTCTCCTACTCCCGCTCCTCCCCCTGGTACACCACCCACCTCCGCTCACTGAAAAGCCAGGTGCGGGCTGCTGAACGCACCTGTGTCAAATCTGGCCTAACGGTCCACCGACAAATCTGGCTGGACCTCCTCAAAATTTACCGCTCCACTCTAGCCTCGGCCAAGTCGTCCTTCTACTCCAGGATAATCCTGGAGGCGAAGAACAACCCCAGGCTACTGTTTTCCACCACAACCCGACTCCTCCGTCCCCCCCGCCACCCCGCGCAGGTCATCTCCTCCAACCTTCACTGCGAGGAGATGCTGGATTTCCTTGAATCCAAGATCAAGGGAATCCGCTCCGCGGTCACTTCCCCTCCAACTTCCACCAACCCCCCACCCCCTCACTCCGACTCCTACCCATCCTCCCCTACACACCTTCGTACCCGTTTCCCCACCCTCTGTCACTGAACTCATCCTATCCCTAAAACCAACCACCTGCTCCCTTGACCCCATCCCCACTCCACTCCTTATCTCCCAGCTCCACTTTCTTGCCCCACATATCACTGACATCATCAACCTGTCCCTCTCCTCTGGCTCTGTCCCCATTCCATTAAAAACTGCCATCATCACGCCCACCCTGAAAAAACCCTCCCTTGATGCGTCGCAGCTATCAAGCTACCGGCCCATCTCCAACCTCCCCTTTCTCTCCAAGGTCTTGGAAAGAGTTGTCGCCTCCCAACTGCGCTCTTTCCTTTCCACCCATTCTCTTTTCGAACCCCTTCAGTCAGGTTTCCGTGCTGCCCATAGCACAGAAACTGCCCTGGTCAAGGTCACCAATGATATCCTGACCATCTGTGACCAGGGCTCCCTCTGTCTCCTCGTCCTCCTCGACCTATCGGCAGCATTCGATACGGTCGACCACGCTATCCTACTCCACCGCTTGTCCTCCCACCTCAACCTTCAAGGCACTGTCCTTGAATGGTTTAGGTCGTACCTTTCTCACCGTCTTCATTTTGTCTCGACGAATGGCTTCTCCTCCACCCCCCGCACTGTCTCATGTGGTGTCCCTCAGGGCTCTGTCCTCGGTCCCCTCCTCTTCACCCTCTATATGCTCCCCCTTGGTGACATCATCCGCAGACATGGAGTTAACTTCCACATGTATGCGGATGACACCCAACTCTACCTTTCCTCCTCTACTCTCAACTCCACGACCACCGATGTCCTGACAGCCTGCCTGTCCGACATCGAGTCCTGGACGAGAGACAACTTTCTTCAGCTCAACGTGCGAAAAACCGAGGCCCTCCTGATTGGCTCACGTCAGCGCCTCCGCACCTCAGGCGCTGACACCATCAGCATCCAAGGCTGCACTCTCCACCTCTCAAAGCCAGTCAGGAACCTCGGCGTTTTGTTCGACCCTGAGCTGTCCTTTCTCCCTCACATCCGCACCACAACTGGCACCGCCTTCCATCACCTCCGGAACATCGCCAGACTACGGCATTACCTCACCCCTCACGCTGCTGAAACCCTGGTTCACGCCTTTGTCACCTCAAGGCTGGACTATGGGAACTCTCTCCTCGCCGGCCTTCCCGCCACCTCCCTCCACAAGCTGCAGGTCATTCAGAACTCTGCAGCTCGTGTACTGTCCCGCACCAGGCTTCGGGACCACATCACTCCCACCCTCGCTCGCCTCCACTGGCTCCCCATCCCCCAGAGGATTGATTTCAAGATCCTCATCCTCACCTACAAGGCCATTCACGGCCTTGCTCCCTCCTACCTCTCCAACCTACTATCCCCCTACCTACCTGCCCGTACCCTCCGTTCCTCTGGCTCCGGTCTGCTCCACGTCCCCCGCCCCAACCGCCCTACCATCGGTGGTCGGGCCTTCAGCCTCTCAGCCCCGAGGCTCTGGAACTCCATCCCCCAGTGCCTTCGCCGCTTCCTCCCTTTCCTCCTTCAAGGCCGGTCTCAAAACCTTTCTCTTTGACCGAGCCTTCAGCTCTCCTCTCGACTCTCTTCCCCCTCCTCGCTCCCTCCCTTCCCTCCCCTCACCCTGACCATTTCCCCCCCTGCTCGGGTCCTGACCCAACTGTGCAGCGCCTTGGGACGTCCTCCTGACGTGAAAGGCGCTTTATAAATGGAATCTTGTTGTTGTTGTTGTTGTAAGCGCTCTGAGAGGCTGCCCGGCGTGGAGAGCGCTATAAAAGTGCCAATTGTTGTTGTTGTTGCACAAGCTAAATTTTTCAAAAATAGATTGCTAGCATGTAAAATATTTTGTAGAGCATAATATTAATGATTGCTGTAACCCATTAGAGAGTCTAGAAATAACTCTCCAGTGCAGCAGGTGCACTTTATTTGTGAGTGATCTGTTGGCGTCTGCATTGTTTCTCTATAAGGAATAATATTCTCCTTTTTAAAAAAATTATTTGACAACATTTTTGCACAGTGATCAAATTC